ATCTGACATGTTGTCCCTTTGACCTTTTGTCCATTCGACCTTTTGTCCGACCGATACTAAAGGCTAAGAATACGTGCTTAAAGGGAAGAGTTTTTACGAAATTCGTGATAAAAATCCACTGCCCACCGGTGGGAATCGAATCCACACCTCAGAATACGCAAGACGGGTGTTCTACCACTATGCTGTGGCAGTCTTCCTTCACTCTATCAATCTAATTCCAAAGTGGCAATGTAATAGATACAATACGACTCTCCTTGTACGCGTGTTTTATTCACCACGTTCGTAGCCATTCGCACTTAACAACATGTTCTCTTTGTTACTTAGGGTATCGAAATACGTTTGTTTTAACGACTGATTGCCATAATTACTCAAATTGATAGTGTATTGCTATTCGGCCTGTGTATAGTGGCGCTTAGTGTTGTCCTGGGAGGGAGAAGCAGATAGCACACACGGAATTCTTGTCATGAAAATTTGTGCCATTGAAATCAAATCAAAACAGGCGTAGCAAAATAGTGTGTTTTGTTTTGAGCGTGTAGTGATTGTTTGAGATTGTTCAGCGTGCAGTGAGAAACTGTACTTTTCTGTTTGGTATTTTATTATGCCACTAGATATTTTGACAAAACCTTGATTAATGGTATCTTTCAATATTAATTTGAGTGTATTTTGAATGAATTAAAAAGAAACGGTGTCCCATTGATTAAAATAGCTGGAAATGACAGTTTATCATAAACTACTATATGCACCTTGTGTATTCTTGTTCAACTGTAAGAAAAGCATCATCTTCGAGAGTGTGGTTTACAAGCCTTTAAGTCGTGGTTTACAAGACTTAAGTCGTGACTTCATTCGCGTGAAGAGCAGACTTATATCCAACCACTACTCGCTAGATGCGCATCTCCATAGAATAAACCTCGTGGACAGCAACATCTGTCGGTGTGGAAACGGTTACGATGACATCGAACAGGCAGTTTGTACGGATAATGACGCCGCCAAAAAGCGACTTTTGAATACCCTTAAGGCCCAAGGAAGATAACCCTTTATCCCTATCAGAGACGTGTTGGGTACCCGCGATCTCTGCTATATGCAGTCGATTTATGTGTTTCTGCATTTGTCTAGTATAAGAATTTAATTCCTTTGCCTTTTGTCTCTCTTTATTAGTTTTTGTTTGTCTTGTCCTCCCGTCTCGATGAGTCTCATCGTCGCCCACTGGTCAACATAGTCGGTCGAACTCCAGATGAAGCTAGCACCGCACTACCGTTAATACTGGCGACAACGCTCTGATGAGACAACGAAACCTCACCCCAAAGCTCCTCTCCTGATCCTATCCTTCGAAAATGTACCCCTCTAACCTTGGGTAAGCCGTGAGTATTCGGCCCAACTCCTACTAGACATAGAAGTGAATTTTGTTACAAATAATGAACAATGAATTATCGGCTCCGTAAAGTTTATGCGATTGAGTCTTCCAAATAAACGAACTAAAAAAAAGAAAAAAATCATCAAACTGCGTGGCTTCCAATGACAGCTTGATTGTGGCTCCTTTTGACATTCATATTTTTCGAATCTGCTTCTCCCTCACAGGTGTTGTCCCACACACTCATAGATAGGGGAATACAGTCCTAAATGCACATCGGGGTAAAACGTATGAAATACCACGTCGGGCGTTTTGCCCCGGGGTGATTTTTTTCTGTTCTACGCTTCATGACGGAATTCCGCTATGTATCTATATGTAAATATATAAAACGAAGCTAATTGTGCTTCAGCTTATCAATATAAGTAGTGTAATTTAAATGATTTTATGGAAAATCCTAATATTATTGATGAAATGGTTTTTTAGGGACTGCTGGCATAAATTCTGGACTTTTAATATATGTTTGATGCGGATATTTATTTGGCCATACTCCAGTTCCTACTGTTTCCAAAAGTTCGCCTAAATGTTGAGTCTGTATATTATATTTAATATTTTCCAATTGAGTAGCACTTTTGACGATACTTACCTCATCCCATGCCTCTTCTATTTTTTAAAACGGCACCAAACCTGGTACATCTCTATCAACTTTTTAAATTCTAAGATTAATTACTGTTTCACCGTTTACGACGATACGACGAATATTTTCATTTTGAGTGAACAAACCTTAGCAACGGGTAAATCAATTAGAAAAACTTCAGCGCTCAACAGTGTTGCCGTTTTATATAATACTATTCGTGTCATACGTATCAACGTGTGCCTTAACGTGCCGAACAGTGTGTGATACCATAGAGGTAACACTAAGACTAGAAGGTCTCGAAAAAACGTGCTCAACTTTTTGGCTCAGCTCTGGTACTATCTTCGGTCCCAATCTAATCGATTAACCCCTCGAAACATAGGAAAATCCACTAACCCCTCATTTTATCTGTCAAACTTTCATTGCTAATCAAAAAAAAATGTGTTGTGCTAGAATTTTGACTAGAATGGGGTACGTTAATCGATTTGCTTCGGACCAATAGGCTAGTCAAGTAGTGAGCCAATTTAAAATCGTTAGTTTTGTATTGATTGTTGGTAATACTGTGTTTCGGCCAAGGGGTAGGTCACTCCACACACCAATCTTGGGTCATTTTTTTGTCAGTATGCCGCAAGTGTGCCTTAGGTGTGTCGCAGGTATGTCGATTGTGCCGGGCATAGTGCAAGCTGCGATTGTTTGTTAAATACCCATCCCGGCAACCCGATATTTCTGACACCTTGAATGTTTTGGTTTGAAATCGCAAGGATAAATCGGATTGAGGATGACGTGGGAAGTAGTGGGTGTGCGAAATTTTGGTGTTTTGTGTTCATAGGATAATAAAAGTCATGTGTTTTAGGGTGTTATAATGCCCTCAAAGGTAGACCAGAAACCTAGCATTTAGTGATGTGAATGCAACGGTCTATCAGTGGCCGGAAAGAGTTGGAACCAGAGTGAAACATTGTTGGAGATCGACAATACTATAGGGGATGATTAATAGACTTCTGTAGTTTGTTTTGTGTGATATGCAGCATTATTTGAATTAATGGTACTAATGGGGTCGCTTGAGCCCTCTCTAGAACCTACATTTCGTATTTAGATCTATAAGTGAACTGCTGGTCTGAGTTCTTCTGGTATATTCAATAAGAGGATGTTCCTGAATATACAGTCAAACAGGACTTAATGTTGCGAACAACTACAATGACAGTTGTCCAGCAGTGCTCCTATTTTATTTATAACAATCCAATGCTTATGAGATTGTGCTGAAGGTGTACCAACGGATGTGCCCAAGTTGTGCCGAATCTAATTTCGGCACAATGTGCTGAGTGACTTACCCCTTGGTTTCGACACAGTGTGCAGAGTTGATTCCTCCTTGAGGCGTTCCTGAGTTACACGGATTTTTTTAATTATGTTTGGGTATTCAAAAGCTTATATACTCCATTTAAAAAAAATTAGCGTAGTTTTAACATTAAGGGTAAGTTCACCGCTTCGAAAAAAATAATTACGTTTTGATTTTTCTAAAAATATTGAAAAAAAGTATCAAAAATCTAAAAAAATCACATTTTTTCTAATTTTTAAAAAAAAATTCACGTGCAAAAACATGTTTTATAAGTCATTATGGCATAAAGTTGGACTCAAAAAACCACAAAACATCAACTTTTCGGTTTTTCTGAGAGTCCAATTTTTTTTCATGATGGGATAGAAAATTTTTTTTTGCATGTAATTTTTGACAAAAATTTAAGGAAGAAACTGATTTTCTTAGATTTTTGATAATTTTTCCCAAAATTAAAAAAAAAAATAAAAACGTACCGAAAATATTTTTTTATTTTTGGGCCGGTGAGCTTCCCCTTAAATGTTATGTTATGCATGGCATTTCAGATGCTGTATAAAAAATAACATTATCTATCCAACTACTTGAGATATTATCATTTGAAGACCGCATAGTTTTGGGTTAACATTACCCATAACTTTTGAATGTTAAGTTATATCCAAACACTTTGTTAAGCACACTATGCACTCTAATTTTCCTTCCATCTCTTCTCAGGACCACTTTATCGAAATATTTGAAACAAAAAAATCAGAATGACTGATTGTAATTATTTAAATTAAATTTAATTAAAAGCAGTACACGATTTTAGCATGGTCAAATAAAGAGCTAGATAAATGGTGTTTTCAGCAAAGTTTCTTAATTTGTTTTTTATTCAACAAACTTGCTGATAAATTAACAACTTGTAACTTTTTAAAAAAAGTCGGATTCCTGATTAAAATTGAAATGAGGACCACCCAAATCATATATTTTATAAAAAGGTGGCCCATTTATTTATAAACAACTTTTACTGCTACTGCTGGTTCTACCATCTAAATTACCGCTTCAAACCACAGTGAATTGTGCAATTTCATCGTAAATTACCTAATGTTTTTAATGTTGGGGTATCAACACTTTGCTGACTTCCTTTTTTTTTTTAAACGATAAACTTCTTCAACTATAGTTAAAATGACGTTCGTTTATCGATATAGCTATTTTTTATAAATGTATATCAATGTTTATGACATAAATTGATGAGCTAGCCCCGAATTACGGAATTTGTATTAAGTTGACACCTAAGACATTTACATTCTTATTTCACCGTAAAGCAATTCAAAACTGTAGCTTATAGCGTAGAATATTTTTCTGAGGGCATGTGTAGATTTCAGTTGGAAAGAATTAATCATGGATTTAAAGAAGTAGTTTTACAACAGATCTGATGATAATAACTGGTTCATTCGCAAATACCCTACCTTACATATTATATATAACTCATTTTCATTTCAATTTACAACCCCATTAATGTCCACAGCACACAAGAATCAGCGCCCTCGCATACTGTACGAATCATCCACATTTATAGCATCAAAGTGTCCTACACATCCTTTGCCATAATATTGTCCTGTCATTCTATAGATCCTGTTGCACTCACACGCAGACGGGGCTTCTCTGCTACAGGGTTGGAAGTGTTAGAAGCATCCAGGACGACAGAAAATGTCAGTGTCGTAAAAGTTTTGCAAGAAAAGTGAAAATTTTTGGTGCATTTTTAATACTCTCCGCACGTTCAGTTTCCTTGGCATTTTCCCAATATATTTGAAGTTTCGGTGAAACTGGAAAATCTGTGAAACGGTGAGCTATCCAAGCCATAGCTGGAAACTTCAATTCTGGCTGAGATTACAGTGCCGAAAACTTGGTTTTCGGAAGAAGTCATCATAGGTGGAATAGAAAAGGAGCAGTCACAAACTATGTTCAAAAGTCGTAGCGAAGGAAATGTTGTTTATAAGTGCACGGTGCGACTTCTGGAGGATTTGGATGTTTTGGAATGTGAATTTCAGGTAATGGACGGAGGGGAACTTGATTGAAAGTATTTTCGCAAAAGTAATCTGTCTCGGCTGAAGGATGTTGGAACTCAGCGTGTCAAGTAGGTTCTGATGGTTACTCGTTTCTGTGGTGTACCTACTATGCATTGGGACGGGATGTCCCTTGAGTGGAACGTTACATGTATAGTGAAGAGTGGCTGTCGCTTTTGCTTTCGAGGGCTATTAATTGCTTTTGATGCCTGATTTATCAATGTTTCCAATCACTGCAATATAACTCGACGCCTGTTTTTCAAACCTCGTCCTTCTCGCCTTGTCGTGGGCTCGATTGTCGTTGCTAAGGTTCACCCATACAGCTCTGCGCTAGCACATGGCAGTAGGGAGCATTCCATGTCACTCCCGCACCCAGTCAATGGTATCCCGCGATTTACGTAAGACATTCAAAATAAACGTTGGGTGCTGGCTAAAAATAGCTCCACTGTGTACGTATTTTTAAATTAATTAACCATTAGTTATATTAATATGGTATAGGATCATATGTGCCATTGGAGTCAAATTGAATGCAGTGTGTCTCTGCTTCTGTTTCCGCTGCTTCATTGTTATTTGGCACCGAACTTGCAAATCGAAATCTGAGCCAAGGTTTTAATTTTGTTATCTGTTAATAATGTTCTGATATGTGCTGGACCTTCGGGTGAATTCATATGTCGCGTATTTATCTCTAATTTTAGCCACATCACAAGGGCAGCTTTCTGCTGGACTATATCTGCGAGACGTTGGAGATCACCGAGAAGGACTATTTTGGGCTTCGATTTGTGGACTCTGCCAAACAGAGGGTAAGTACGCAGCAGAAGGTACTGGGTGTCATTATTATGTAGTTGGCATATATTAGCATATGCATCGAGTGACGAAATGCAGTGCGGGTTTAACGTTAGCTGTCTCGTCTTTTCTTGTGCCTGCCTTGCCTTCCTCCCGAATGGCGATATGATGTACCATCATCGTGCGGCTATTGCAGCACTGGCTGGATCTGGCGAAAACGATTATCAAGCAAGTAAAAGGTACATATTATTCTGGACGATGACGACGATCTAAAATAGACCATGCAGTAACGTTTATGTTGTTTTGCAATCATTGCGTGTTTTGGCGCGATTTATATCTGCTCGTATATGGTTTGCTAGGTGCATGATAGTGGATATGAATATGAATTTTATTTTTAAAGTATCACGCACCATCAACAGTATTTTATAGTTTGAATTCGTGATTTTATAGTTGCAAGGTTTTAAAATTTGCTGCATCAATGTATCTCATTTCATTTATTATTTCATAAATAAGGTCCCTTTCTGTATTTAAGACATCAACCGTCATTTTTATGGACTGCTATAATGTGCTCCCTTAGCTCAGTCGATAAAGGCGCAGCTACAAAGCAAGATCATGCTGGAGGTGGCTGGGTTCGATTCCCGGTTCGGTCTAGGAATTTTTCGGGTTGGAAAATTTTTCGACTTCCCTGGGCATAGAAGTATCACAGACAAACAGACGTAACTCTTTGAAAAAGTTTTTCTTGAAAACATAGCATCTCAAAACATAGGACCTCAGTAACGACATCTCTCGGGCTTCTCGCGGAAAACAAGCTTGTTCGCTAACTCGCAAACAATATTGCATAAAACTTCTATAGAATGTATAGAAACGTCAAAGTGATCCGATTCCAGCGCTGCGACGAGTAGTTCGCGGAACTGATAATATTCAAATCAACCGTTAAATGCGTGAACGAAGATACACAATGAAGAGTTACGTCTGTTTGTCTGTGGAAGTATGATTGGACTTGCCACATAATCATATCAATGCAAAAATGGTACAGGCATCGAAAGCTCTCAATTAATAACTGTGGAAGTGCATCTAGAACACTAAGTTGAGAGCACGCAATAAGCTAATATGCGATATGCAATAAGCTTGAAATGCGAAGAAGAAGAAGAAGATAATGTGAATCGCTTCTTACGATCTTATTCATGTTGTAATAGACATTCACTCTATTTTTCTATGACCTTATTGAATATACACTCTTATTGGAAAGTTTGAATTTATTTGAAATATTGTATTGCATAGAAACTTATAAACTAAGCAATTCTCTGTTTGAGTGATTTTTCAGCATGAATTTTATATTAATTAATTTGACTTATTTGGATTTCAACAGTGTTGTCCAAACCCACACACTTAGAAAAAAATCACGTAAATTTAGGTGCTCTGTGACCGGCATATATGAGTGACAATTTTGACATAACATTTAATCGTAACAGACGCGAAATTCAGCTCAATCAAACGTACTTTTCGTCGAATAATGAACTTTTCAGTCTCGCAGCACTTAAAATCACATTACATGCTTGTTTACGTCTCATCCTTTATGTGAAAGATGGATTCCGTCATCTGTAAAATTAGTTATTTCTAAGTGTGCAGGTTACATTGATCTTTGGAGCTTTGAGACTAAATTCAGTGCCCAAAAAGTATTACATGGGACCGGGAATCAAACTCGTTACCTCCTTTAATTGAAACTGTATTCCTCTAATCTTGCACTAGGGATCCTGGCCCACAACATTTCTCTGCATTTGACTTGGAAGTCATTTTGTTCAGGATAGACTTTACCAGAACCTAAATTCAGTGCCGTTTCTTTAACCTCAATCTACCTGTGCACCAACTCTCAAAACATAAACATTTATCAAAATATTGCTTGCAATGGATGGATATCGAGTAAACTAGCAGATTATGTGTATTTTTCAACCGACCGGAGTATGAATATGGCATTAAATCTGGTTTTGAAAGTTGCTGCACACACAGATAAAAATTCTGAATTTTAATTGTGATGTAAACATTCATTCACGTAGACTTGTATTTAATTTCACGCAACCAAGCAACTTGCAAACAATGTTGTTTACAAAGATGGGCTTTTTTATACAATATTTGCCACATTGCATGAAATGTGTCAGAACTTTACATGATATATAATGTAAACGTATATGATATGTGACGCTCCATTTATGTGCATCATATTAAACAGAAATTTACACTACTTTTTCGAACTGTGCAGGTAAAAAGTGAGGCTACGGGACGCCACTGCCTAAACTCAGTCAGATTTAAGTCATAAGAACATACAGGACCAAAGCAACATACCGGACACAGATCACATGACATGGTCATAACTTTCTGACATGTTTATTAAAATTCATTTAAATTCAATTAAAAGTCAGACATGTTTATTAAAAAAACGCGGAGCTCTATGATCAGGATCGTGGATTTACTACTTTTACGGGTGTTCCGGATCTTCCGAAGGACGGCCCCATGGCCATCTGGGTCCATGACCCAAATTCATTCTTATATCACAGATCCTAATGTTAAAAAAAAAACACGGAGCTCTAGGATCAGTTTCATGGATTGTCCACTTTTACGGATGTTGCGGATCTTCCGGAGGACGGTCCCATGGCCATCCAGGTACATGTTTATGTCACGACCCCAAATATTTGTTTATATCACAGTGTTCGCGCAAGCGACATTTACCGCCTTTACCCTGAACTGTGGAATAGTTAATACTCTTACCAACAGATGTCATCTTTCAATTATGTATGTTACTGTCATTTTGTCCAGATTGCAATATAATTGATATCATGTCATCTATACAATAAACACACACACAGTATTGTCTGCCTCCGCCATGGCAGGACGGCCCAAATCATCATCGTATTTTAATCTTTATAACACAACGTAGAAAATCGGGTCCTACCGTGCGCGATCATATGGTGCCGTGACCAGGATAGCGCGAACCGTGCTGAAAGTGATGTGATAGTCGAATTGAAACGATCCCAATGTATCACACATTTCTTGCGATCAACTCCAGTGCTACGAAAAATTCCACTACGCTCCCGGCTACGATGGTGTGGCTGTTCAAGTAGCCATCTAGCAGAGCATTCCGCTCCGGTCTAGCTCATCTTTTGATACTGCTGCAAACGACTCAGTATTTGGCTAGGAGAGGATGCTCATTCTCAACGGACAAGCGTGGACGTCGAATCGAATATTCATTAGACTGTGGGTTTACAACATCGTGCCTTTTCTACTCCGATCAACAATATGGAAACCGTGTCATCATTGTTCGTTCTACTCAGCTTTGGGATACATGCAATGCCGACAGTCTACAGCAGTTTCAGCAACAGTAGTTTAAGCAACAGAAAATTAAAACCGTTGGTTTTGGCGGGCCGGTATGTTCGCGCAAGTGACATTTACCGCCTTTACCCTGAACTGTGGAATAGTTAATACTCTTACCAACAGATGTCATATTTCAATTATGTATGTTACTGTCATTTTGTCCAGATTGCAATTTAATTGATATCATGTCCTCTATACAATAAACACACACAGTATTGTCTGCCTCCGCCATGGCAGGACGGCCCAAATCATCATCGTATTTTAATCTTTATAACACAACGTAGAAAATCGGGTCCTACCGTGCGCGGTCACATAGTTCCTAATGTTTTCAAAAAAACCGCAGAGCTCTAGGATCAGGATCATTGATTGACCATTTTTACGAATGTTCCGGATTTTTCGAGGACCGTTCCGTTGTCTCCAGGATCCATGTATAGGAACCATGACTATATTTTGGCTAATTGTGAACATTTGTGCCCATAAATCTAAATTACAGATCTTGCGCCACTTGCAAAACCCTACAAACACACCTTTCAAAAAAAGTGTAACAACTCTTTTCGCTTTTTAAAAAAGTAGGCGACTCTATTTTCAAGTTTTTTGCAAACAAAATCATCTAGAAACCCTAGGAATTTTAAGGGTACCACAATTTTAGAAATTCATTGAGAAAGCTAAGTTGTGCCATTGCAAATTTGCTGTTACACGTTTTTCGGAGGCTTCGTAGTCGGCGTAAAGTTTTTTACCCACCGTATTCGGAGTGATATTTAGCAACACCAGTACTGGCCGTGTCCGAATGGGAATGGGAATGGGAAGAAATGTGTTGATGTGATACTCGCTGTGAAGGAATCCGAAACGTCCTCTGCGCTTCTACGAGAAATCACTGGGATGTACTGGGATGCTGATAATGACGTACTTTAAACACTAATGGATATGAAGTATAAATAGATAAAAAGGAAAGATCTTACTGAAGGAATCAACAACAAGCTGCCTCGTAGTGTTCATATACTGTCCTCAAATAATCCGTCTCCTTGACGTAAAAGTACCACCCGTAGACGGTCCACAGGGACCAACATGAACTGGTCCAGAATCTTTTAGAATTTATTTGAATTACCCCTACTTCACTTCTGATAAAGTTTCAACATCCGTTGATTGATCATTCTTGAAATTCGATCTGGAAGGACACACCTAACTTATCCATTAAATCATAAAATTTCAGTTAAAATTAGTTTTTTTTTATTACGTCAGTTTACAAAACCACCTCAGACCGAAACTCTCGTTGCGTCACTGTTGTTTGTTTGATAGGAACGGTGGAATTTCTTTTTATTTGAATTATTCCTTAAAACGGGAACAAATCTCTTGAAGAGCAATATTTGAATTTCGATGAGATTTGATGGGATTTTAGTTTACTTTAGATTGTGGCTTCTTTCCCTGGTGTCCTGGATGCTTGTGTAGTCATTGATTTTTGTTGGTTTTTGATACGAGCAAGATAACTTTTTGCTCATTTCAAATTCTGGTAACTTTCTGAGGTGCTTCCGAGACATTCCCGGTTATGATGAACTATGGCCAAGTCAGGCAAAGGAGCATTTCGTCGTAACATGTTCAGTTAAGACAATGTTGTTCTGGGCACTTGGGCATATATCTTCCATTAAACTAGATTATGTATTATCTTGTGTTTTGAGGTGTCACATGACCAATGTAATCCTATGCATATAATATTGCTACCTTTGAGCTTGATATTAAAATGTTATCATTAATATCTTTTTAAATGTTTAGGACTTAGTTCAAGCAAACGTATCTGTAGGATTCCATGTTATCTGTTGGTATCAGTGGGACCCTATCCCTGTCAACCACATATAGAAGCACCTTAGCTCACATGATTTTGACATTTTTGGACAATCTGACACTTTTGGACATACTGACAGCGGTAAATCTGACGGAGGTACGACAGAACAAAACAGCTTACTCTTTCACACTGGCATCGCAGTGCTGAATGCTAGAAAGAGTAGTCTGTTGCAGTCATCCTCACCCACTATATTCATCACATTGATGTGAGCTCCGGCGAAATTCGTGATTGTTGCCCCCGTGGTTGGTACAGAAATGATGAAGTTTTGCGCCCACTAGTGTGGGCTTTTCCCTCCAAATAATTAAATAAATAAAAAGATACCATGCCGGGGTAGGCCTACGAGGTCTTGGGCACTCAATTTGGTCACCGTTGATCTTGTTTTAGTACTCTCGTGTTTGGCGCGATGCATCGTGATGCAGGCAGTGTTCGGAAAATCATTCTCAAATTCACGCTTGAGATTATCATGCATATTCACGCACTCACACTCACAATCCCGAAAAGTCATTCCAGCTTTAAACCAGGCTTGCTGAAACTCCTCAAACTCACCGGAGGGCTCGCCGGAGGGTTTAAAACACTCTTGTCCTGCGAGTTTAGCCAGCCCTCACCTCGAGTGAGTGGCGGCAGGAATATGGAAGAAGAAAACAAAAACTCCTCGAGAGAAAGGGAGAGTGACCTTCAGCGAGAGGATGATTTGGCGTGAGAGAGGCGCTTTTCGAGACTCAGGATGACTTTTTTGTTCGACGCAAGAAGATCAAAGTTCACCCAGAGCGAGAGTAAGAGCGTGTGATAGAAAACATGAACATGAATGGCAGAAAACCTCACTCTAATGTTATCTCCCTTCGCTCACAAGCTCTGAAGCTCAGTGAAATGATTTGGCAGCAGGCATTCTACTCCTCAGAAAAATGCTACGCTCGGCTCATTTTAAACTTGCGAGCGAGGCTCCATCAAACCTGCTTTAAACTCATAAAAACCACTCAATCGTCAACTCATACACAGCAAAAAAATAATTTTGATATCACATCAAAGTGGATGCACTACAATCATGTCGAAAATTTCATGTAATTTTTATGACCACATAAATAAACAAATACAGTAAAAGCAGCGTAATGTCAGTTCATGCATTGTATTAATGATAATTTTGTCCTTTTTAGCAAGTAATATTACACCATATTTTCGACATGATTGTAGTGCATCCACTTTGACGTGATATCAAAATTATTTTTTTGCTGTGTAGCATGCCATTAGACTGATGCAAAATTTGAAATTTTCGCTCCACAGTGCTCAAACGATTCCAAATTGGGCCCTGATTAGCCTCCCAATACTTGAACTCATTTAGTGAGAAACTTCATCTTCTTTCCTTTATTTAACGTCGGTCTCTGTTCCGCAATCTAGTGCCAATCACCGACGGACATCGATTGCCATCCATTGACGGCAATCGAATGTGCAGGAAGGCAGCTTCCACACCTGCGTAGGATATCGCACCCATTCAACACACATGGGCCGGGACCAACGGCTTTACTTCCCTTCCGAAGGAAGACGTGACCAGAGATTTTTATGCCTCAGAAAAATCCCACCGACCTCGGCTGGGATTGAACCCAGACCCATCGGGGTGTTAGAAAGCAGTCACGCTTACCACTACACCACCGGCGCCGGCCAATTAGTGAGAAATTAACATGGCACAAACCATTTGAAATTTATATGGAAATTACTATGGGAAAACAAAACTTTTTGTTCATTGTCTTCTAGCCTTTTTACATATTGTACTGTTAAGGTTCTACAAAGGGTAAGTAATTTTGTGTTCTTCTTCTTTTTTAAATATCATAAAATCATCATCAGTAGTTTACACATACATTCATATATTATGAATACTAAAATTTAAAACATGTATTTCGTGATCATAGATCGAAAATTTCCTGGGTAAAACACATTCACTGTATTTACTTACTTGTGTTCTTCGAAGTATATCACATTTAACCGCAATCGAATACACGAAACTCAAAACAACTGCTTCATAAAACTCTTGGTGAACAAAATTCATCACAAAGAAAACCATTTCTACTTTACTGCTTTGCTAGCAATCGTGAAAGTATCATTGAAACAGCGGTGCCAGATGTATTACCTCTAGCAATGAATTTAAGTTTATTAAAACAATTAATTACGAAGTCTGCCTTATTAACATAGATGAGTGGATGTATTTAATGGTGGATAAATATCAAAAACTGATTAAATAAAATATAAATGACCATTTTAAACATTTTACCGGTCCAATTAAAAAAGTCACAGAAGATTGAATTCAACACTAACAGGGTTGATGGCAGCAGTGCACGTAGCCTGTTATACACTTTCCCGCTCTGGGGTGTAGACAAACTTGCATACAGCGCAGTCTGGCAGTGTTTATGTTTTGTCTGCTACATTCTTATCCACTAGATAGTGTGACATCACATTTGCTGTTGTATTGAAATGAAGGAAGAAAAGAGATGGTTAAGTTTTCCTCACCAGACCAGTTGATATTTATGAAAAATGGGCAGTTTTGGCGTGGGGACATGCACTTCCAATGAATTTTACCAATACATTTAGAAAATGATGATCGAAGAATATTTCAAAAAGAAGAAGTAAACAAAATAATGACCCTTTGTAGAACCTTAATAAATTCTATTGATATTCTCATGGGGATTTTTATCAGCTACTACTTTGCAGTTTTTCAACCAAACGTCAAATGAAATAGTTATTGATTGTTTAAGAGATTGATAATCTCATGGCAAGATAAAGCAACTGTATTGTGGGCAACACTGTAAAGTGTAACACTGCAGTGTGACATAGTAGCCATGATTTTTGTCCTCTATACTACGCACCATAAACACCAATGTTGCCTGCTGAACAGTTGATTGAGCATAATCATAAGACATCAGTGACTTGAATCATTAATAATTTTTGTTCCTTACATTTGATCGAAAAGTGGTCTTCAACAAAGTTGGAGCTGAGAAAATTTTCAAAAAGCTCAGCTATCATTTTCTAAAGTAGAGTGAACTGGTGAATTCTGAGAGATATATGAACGGAAATTATGGTTTCGCCATAGTAATTCCCATACAAACTTCAAATGGTTTGTGCAAAATCAGTTTATCACTAAATGAGTTCAAATTTTGGGAGGCTAATCAGGGCCAAATTTGGAACCGTTCGAGCACGGTGGAGCGAAAATTTCAAATTTTGCATCAGTCTAATGCCTATGCCTGTTGTGTTAGTTTTCCAACCCCTGATGCACGAACAATGGTAATAACAATTAATAGCGACGACATATAAAGACATGAATGTTTGAACCTAAAGACTCATCTGTTATTTTTGTGACGTTGAATTTTGGATGGCAAAACTCATAGGTGCATAAATTCATGCATGAAATTTGAGCTTTAGAGTTTTTCCGAACACTGAATGCAGGTCACATCTAGTTTTAAGGCTGGTACTCAGCGGATCAAGTTTCGGTCATAACTCTGGAACTAGTTGACCGATTAAAAAAATATTCAATAGCGTTCTAGGGGACCACGATTCGTTTCGTTTGGCGGTTCTTGTGTACATTTTGGTCCAGTAATTGCCGAGAAATACGCCGCTCAAATTTTGTAACGCTTGAGCTGAGTCGAATGGGTCTCGGATCGAAAGTCGGTTTTCCAAACGATATAGGGTTAATGTCTCTAATGTCGGCCTAAGTATACCTTATATGGGGCCCATACATAAATTTCGAAGGAAAGCAGCAATTAAAAATATCTATTTTTGTCCAGATGACGCATTTAAAAAAAATATATGGGCAGGAGATTTTTATGGATGAGCAGAATCTTTAGATCCATAGCCCAACATTAGACCCATTTCTCTATAAATAAAAGAAAAACACCAAACATAAAATGTTCAACGCATCGTTATAAAAACAATCTGAGTGGACCAAGTACTTCCCCAAATCAAGTATCCCCACCCTCCCCAATATAGACATATCTGACAAACATAAAATTCAGTGCATTTGCATTAGGTCTCATTATACTGTCTTCTATTGAATGAATGACCTTTGTTAAAATGCTTTTTAGGATACCATTTTGTTTCTGTTTTAGTTACAGCTTTTTATTCTGTGTGCTTTGCATTACTGTATGATTTTTTGCTAAATATTTTTGGACTAAGTTTTCACTGTATAATTTTCCACAGATGTCGAACCTTTGGTGCTGTCGTTTCGTGTTAAATTTTACCCTGCTGATCCCTGTCGGCTGACAGGCTACGGCAAAGTGATGCTATTTCAACAGCTGAAACGAGATCTACGACACGGGAGATTGTACTGCTCAATTGGGGAAGCTGCTGCGTTAGGGGCACTGATTGTACAAGGTAAGTGGTTTGTGTAATGTTTTACCTATATTGCATTACATATCATTCTCTGTAATGGTAACTTCTGTCCTGATGCAAATTTCCGTCTTGTTGGTGCCATCGATGATTCTCATTTCCGTTTGCCAGTGCGCATTTCCGATTGGAAATCCTTCAAAGACTCTCATATCGAGGATGCCATTTTTGGCGGTGTATTTTCCCTGAAAAAAACCAAATTATAGATCATTCCGAATGAATGGAACCCAAGTGGATTAGAGAGTTTCATTACAATCTGCATCGGGCAAGTAACGGGTGGTGAGAAGAAACCCATGTAAGCTTTCACGATATGGTTATCATTGAATATTGGGCACACGTCGTCAAAAGTAATCGTATCAAAGGGCACGCAGTTGGTTTTATCCAACTCACAGCGGTTTACCGACAGTCGGAACTGAAATTTATAGTGTGTAAAATGGATTACATTGTGTAACATTTGTTTTCATTCAACAGTTACCTGCACGGGAGATTTTATATCTCTGATTTCTTGCACTACAGCAGAAATACTTATAGCTTGCTTCTTACCAACGATGTGTACGTCACTAAACTTTGCTGCACTATTTGAAACATCGTCGCACAAGGCATACTTGTCAACTTGATAGAACTTTGCTGCCTTTTTTATTTGGTAAATGTTGGAAAATAACTATGCATTTTAAATAAATCTGATGTACCTACCTCTGCAGCAAATGCTGTGCAGTATATCAAAACAATAGTATTCGCAAAGCTTAGTCGCACCATCGTGTTACAACGTTATGTATACATTATGAAGAGCTCGGAGCATTTTATAGTGGAAGCGGTCGGGACTTCGCACTTCGTTGGTTTCGTAAAGTGTAATTTAACGTAATGTCCAAAACAATTAAATAAAGTTTGGGATATATGTTAAATGATGCCGGTCACAATTAAACTATTTAGAATAATCATTTGGTGCGCCTTCTAATTGAAACTCATCCATGGCAGCCGATACTGATTAATATTAATTATTTATTTGTCCTCTCTTCAACACATTAGAACAGAATGTGCAATAATGTCGCATAGTATAATTAGAGTATTTAGATCAAGATAAATCCGTCATGTAGTCCCACATTGTACGAAGTATATACAGAGGGTAGGAGGAAATTTTACTTCTTTAATTCAATAGCGTGCAATATGTCCAAAATAGCATCCAGCCACGGTTCAATCACTCATGTATGCAAAGGGTGCAAAGGGTCAATGTGAAAGGCTTCCATCTTGCGCGGGTGCTTGCTTTTGCTTTAACCTGGGAACACCAGATCAAATCCTGTCGTGTAGCTTGATTAAACTTGCTGTGTATGCCTCTGCTGCGATGTCTTACCGGGGTCCAATCCAACAGCAGATTTAGTTCCCGCCTCTTCGTATTGGGTGGCTGACCTCTCCTCCACTTACGTTCTAAAATTTCTGTTGATATCGACTATGGAGATCATCATTCTAGATCGAGTTGTGAGGCCAACCGGTCACAAATTATATACCGCAGGAAACGGTACATGAAGGCCTGCAGCTTCTGAATGTTCTCGCACCATGTCTCGCTCGCGTATAACAGTACGTTTGAATTGAAATTTTGGATGCGATGAATGATCTAGTTGAATCTCCAAATACTTCTTAAACTCGTAAATGCAGCCCTGGCTTTCTTGATTCGATACAAAGTTTTTTTTATTTGGTTCTACATCAACAGACTGGGCTTAGTCCTAATGATGGATTAAGCAATACTAGAAAATACAATATAGTCAAGAAGTAACAAGCTGCAAAGGCCGTGAAGTCCAACTTAATTCCTAATTCTTAAAAATATATCACGGAATCGCTGACGCAGCGTCTCGCGTGCCAAATGAAAATCAAATAAGGAAGCAACACGATTGAAAACCCTTTGTAGCCCATTGATAGCATCATACGAACTATTTTTTTTTTTTTTTTTTTTTTTTTTTTTTAACTCTTTATTTGTTCCAAATTCAAAATAAATTACATTTCATTTTAACCTAGGTGCTCCAGTTACTGCAGTAACGTACCAGCCTTAATTGTTATGATATATATCTAAGTGTTTTTACATTGTTCATGTCTTGGCAATTCAGTATTTTAAACAGGTTTTTTAACCTGCATGTCAGTATAACAATTGATATCTTAAAACTAAAAACTAAAACTAAATCTTATCTAAGTATAAAGGGAATTAATCGTTGCAATTGAGGATTGCAACGATTTTTGCCTGAAATTATTCATTATTTTGTTGGACATTTGTGCTAAAGTCTCAACATTCGAAATTCTATGTACTTCGGTTGTACTGTACCAGGGAGGCAACTTCAAAATCATTTTCAGAATTTTGTTCTGAATCCTTTGAAGTGCTTTTTTCCTGGTAGTGCAGCAACTAGACCATATTGGTACAGCGTAAAGCATGGCCGGTCTAAAAACTTGTTTAAATATTAGAAGTTTATTCGTCAGGCAAAGTTTGGATTTCCTGTTTATAAGAGGATACAAACATTTAATATATTTGTTACATTTGGCTTGAATGCCCTCAATGTGATCTTTAAAAGTTAATTTTTGGTCAAGTATTAATCCAAGATATTTCACTTGGTTTGACCAGGAAATTGGAACTCCGTTCATAGTGACTATGTGACTACTACTAGGTTTCAAAAACGAAGCTCTAGGCTTATGTGGAAATATTATAAGTTGAGTTTTGGAAGCGTTGGGAGAAATCTTCCATTTTTGTAAATAAGAAGAGAAAATATCTAAACTTTTCTGAAGTCTGCTGCAAATAACACGAAGACTTCTTCCTTTAGCGGAAATGCCTGTGTCATCAGCGAACAAAGATTTGTGGCAACCCTGAGGCAAATCAGGGAGGTCCGAAGTGAAAATGTTATACAATATAGGCCCAAGAATGCTACCCTGAGGAACTCCTGCCCTAACAGGTAGTCGATTAGATTTGGAATTTTGATAATTTACTTGAAGAGTTCTGTCAGTTAAATAATTTTGAACTAATTTCATAATATAAAGTGGAAAATTAAACTTTTTCAATTTAGCAATCAAACCTTCATGCCAAACACTGTCGAATGCTTTTTCTATGTCTAGAAGAGCAACTCCAGTTGAGTGGCCTTCAGATTTGTTTGAACGAATTAAATTGTTAACTCTTAAGAGTTGATGAGTAGTTGAATGCCCATGGCGAAATCCAAACTGCTCATCTGCAAAAATTGAGTTCGCATTGATGTGAAGCATCATTCTATTCAAAATTATCTTTTCAAAAAGTTTACTTATTGAAGAAAGCAAACTTATTGGACGGTAGCTAGAAGCTTCAGCTGGATTTTTATCCGGCTTCAAAATTGGAACAACTTTTGCATTTTTCCATTTATCAGGAAAGTATGCCAAATGGAAACATCTGTTAAATAATTTTACCAAGAAAGACAAGGTACTCTCTGGGAGTTTTTTGATGAGGATATAGAAAATTCCATCATCACCTGGAGCTTTCATATTTGGAAAATTTTTAGTTATAGACCTTACTTCGTCCAAATCAGTCCCCCAGGAATCATCAAAAATATTTTCCCGAGAGAAAATATTCAGAAAATCCCGAGCAACCTGATTCTCAATAGGACTAGTAAGACCCAAACTGAAATTATGGGAACTCTCGAATTGCTTAGCAAGTTTCTGAGCTTTTTCCAAATTTGTGATCAAAATTTTACCACCTTCTTTAAGCGCTGGAATAGGCTTTTGAGGTTTTTTCAAAATTTTTGTGAGTTTCCAAAAGGGTTTGGAACTCGGGTCTAATTTAGAAATATTATTTTCAAAAGTTTTGTTCCTCAGGGCAGAGAATCGCTTTTTAATTTGTTTTTGCAAATCCCGCCAGATAACTTTCATGGCAGGATCGCGTGTTCTTTGATATTGTCTCCTACGGACATTTTTTAAGACGGATCAAGAGCTGAAGATCATCGTCTATTATAATTGAATCGAATTTAACCTCGCATTTTGGTACTGAGGCAGCTCTTGCTTCAACTATAGAAGTAGTCAGAGATTCAAGAGCATAATTAATTTCATCTTTGGTTTGCAAAGGAATGTTTGGATCGAAGTTATATTCCATAAATGTTCGATACTGCTCCCAATCAGCTCTATGGTAATTGAAAGTAGAGCTGTTGGGATTACAAATTATTTCTTGGGATATTTCAAAAGTTACTGGAAGGTGATCAGAACCGAAGTCAGCATGGGTAACCAATTGGCTACAAAGTTGACATGAATCAGTTAAGACCAAATCAATAGTGGAGGGATTTCTTGCAGAAGAAAAGCATGTTGGGCTGTTTGGATATTGAATAGTGTAATAACCTGCAGAACAATCATCAAACAGAATATTACCATTGGAATTGCTTTGAGCATTATTCCATGAGCGGTGTTTTGCATTAAAATCACCAATAATGAAGAATTTAGACCTATGACGGGTAAGTTTCTGGAGGTCACCCTTGAGAAAATTCTTTTGCTGGCCTACGCATTGGAATGGCAAATAGGCAGCTATAAACGTAAGTTGTCCAAATTTTGTTTCAACAGAAACCCCCAAAGTTTCAAAAACTTTGGTTTCAAATGAAGAAAGAATTTTATGTTTGATTTGTCTATGAATAATGATGGCAACGCCACCACAGGGTCCATCAAGACGATCATTTCTATAAATCAAGTAGTTTGCGTCCTTCTTAACCTTATGGGCAGGTTTAAGGAACGTTTCAGTTATAACGGCAATATGCACGTTATGAACTCTTAAAAAGTTAAATAGCTCGTCTTCATTATCTTTAAGAGATCGAGCATTCCAATTTACAATATTTAATGCTTTAAAATCCATTACTGAATTTTAAAGTCATGACAATATTATTTGCAAATTTTACTCCAGTTTGAATAGCATCAAACATGGAGTTAGATTTAAGCATATCAGAAATCATGTCAATTAATGAATTCTGTAAAAATTCCATTTTGGGGGCAGTAATGCTTCCTAAGTCAAAATTTTCAAAATTTCCATTAGAACGTTGGTTAGTATTTTGATTTCTACCCGCTGCAATAGCAGCATAGGTAGCTCCATTAACTCGCTGAACATTGTTAGCAGCGAGGGGAGTAGGTACAGATGAAACATTTGAAGCAGGGGAGATATTTGTACCTACGGGTACGAATGTAGAATTTGTTCCTCGCTGACCGTTGTTAACAGCAGAGGAATTTGTACCTGGTCGGAAACGTGGAGCGTTTCCTACCTGACGGTTAGAACGAGATTGTAGGATCGCTTTGCGAGTCTTACATTCCCAAAAATTGGATTTGTGGTTTTCACCACAATTTGAACATTTAAATTTCTTAGGATCTTCCTTCACAGGACAGTCGTCCTTTGCGTGAGAGGAATCACCACAATTCATGCATTTAGCTGGCATGTAGCAATTTTTAGTTCCGTGACCCCATCCCTGGCACTTACGGCACTGGGTGAGGTTTTGGAAATTTCCTCCAGTCTTCCTGAAGTGTTCCCACTTCACTCGGACATGGAGCATAAGGCTAGCTTTTTCTAAGGCCTTAAGGTTGTTTAGTTCACTAGACTTGAAGTGAACTAAATAAAAATCATTAGAAATCCCGTTGCGCGAATCGCCAGGACGGGATTTCATTTTCATTTTGATTACTTGGAGTGGCACAACTCCAAGTAATTTTGCCAGTTCATCTTTGATCTGATCCAGGGATTCACCACTGGGCAGTCCTTTCATGACAACCTTGAACACACGTTCAGTTTTGG